AGCAGCGGACCTACTAAAAACCATTTATTATTTAATGTCCATAAAAATTATATTTATATTAATGATGTCTCTAAAGTTCAGCGAATTTTTCGCAAAAAAAATCATTTATCAGGAAGCACGCGAGTGCCATTCGATGACAATCTCCACAACGAAAACAAGCTTAAGCAATGGCATAGTCAAACAGTGCACACTCGGTAAGTAATCCTACAATTTTTTGTTTATAGCATAGTTTATATGGATTATTCCCAAAAAATTATACGTATTTTGGAAATGTTGAGTCGAATTAGTCTAGAATTGATTAATTTTATGGAAGAAACCTTACAAACAGCCGTAGTCCGTAAACTGCATGTGTGCCGGGCTGTGATTGGCTGGACTCGTAGAAAATGGATTCATAAAAACTGGAATGTATCTACTGTGTTATAGGGGGGGTCGACTGTAATTCTTTGTAAATCCTAAATAAGTTCCTCTAATAAACTTTATTTACATAATTACAACAAATACTGCACTTTAAAACTTAGGTGATCAGTAATTACACAATGAGTTTTGATTTTTAATTGATCACAAAGTAACAAATCAATCCAAAAAATACATTTAACATGAAATGTTTGATTTGAATACACCTGAAAATAACATTATCTTTTGCATTAATTAAATTTTGGTACTAAATTTCATTACATTTCCGGATCATAAAGTAAATTTTTTTTTTTTCTATAGAAATCGAATTGGAAAAATTCATTTCTCGTAGGGAAAGACTAAGAGAGACGGTGACGAGTCCCTCAGTTGAAGTGGAAACGGAGGCGGAACAGCCTAAGAACAAGACGTCGTACTGTAATTATTTTGTGCCAATCCTGGTCGACAAGACGACTTTTATGAAGGTCATTAATCTCTATCCCGTAGCAGGTATGCTGCCATTTTTCTCATTTATTTACATATCGAACAGCAGACAATTAATAGGATTAAAATTATTCAAAAAATAAATCCAAAAACAGAAGTACTAATTTTGGCATTGATACATGTGTAAAAATAATATAAGACGAGGTTAAAGTTTAAATATATTTGTCACACACTAACTTTTAGACAGTAAGAGCTCTTTTATCACGGTGAGATAGAATTGTATATCTCTTATGCAAACATAGAATAAATTTCAAAATGTTGATGTTTTTTGCTTGTAAATTCCAATAACACCATATTCAAACTCTCAATGTGCAGAAAACACTTCTACCAAAATCTGATGATCGAGGAACCAGTACTTTCTGGTAATGTCAATATTGATAATCGGATTTGGAAATTACTTAATAAGACTATCAAGAGGAGGTTATACTACCGGGAGGTTATAATCACCGATTTCAGTAAAATTTTGTTGGTGTGGTATTTATTAATACTTGTACTTTAACTCTTCCTGAATAGTGGGTCTTGTGGCTTTGGTATTCTCGAGAAAAGCATGATTAAAGGTTTTGTAGAACTATTAATACTTACTAATCACGCCATTCATGCTATTGCATGAAGTGTGAGTCCTGCATGAGATTAAAAACTGTACATAAATTTAATAATACAGTAAGATAAATTTTGTTTTTCATTTATAAAGTCATTGAAAATTTATTTATTTTTATTTTGATCACTTCATATAACATTATAATCACATTTTGTATTGTTTAATGTAATGAAAGTTCTTATATTATACATATCGATACATTTATATTACATTTCATATATGAGGATAGGAAGATATTATAATAAGCATCTCAACACACCTCCATACTCTTTCCAGCAAAAAATATTGTATATTACTGTATATATTATTAGGTAGATAGGGCTAATCTAATCAGGAATGAAAACTAGACATAGAAGATTATGCTTTCTGCCTGGATGATTTAATTTTACTGGAGATAAGGATGTCACTAGAGTTCATTAGATGGGTAAGTACTGTACCTTTAATGCAGAAAGGGAAGTGATCAAAGTTGACAGCTAGGATTCCCTCTGTTCATTTGCCAGAGACCCCAAAGGCGGACAGATAAATAAAATCATTAAGCATGCCAACATGCCAAACAAATTCTTATAGGAGACATTAGAGAGGTTGCAGCCTAAGTTTTCATTGTGAAAACGTGAATGTCGGATGTTCAGCACTGCCATCCTGTAAGCCTAGAAGTTTGACAATGGCATTTGGAACATCGAGCATGATTCCACTGATGTTCCAAACACCATTGTCGAACTTCTAGCTTACAAAATGGTGGCACTGAACGTCAATGTTCACATTTTTGCGATGAAAACTTCAGTCACAACCTTGCTATTGTTGCTTATACTATATTTGGTTTGTGAGATACGGATACTCCTATGGCATCAATGAGAGCACTAGTGTACTGTAGCTGTCTCCTGAAAACTGATTCAGAAATAGCCAATTGTGATGATGGTATCAAAATACACACACTAATTTACAACCAGTTGGGCACACCAGTTTTTTGTGACATGAATTTATTTGCATCTCAAATAACACAAAAGAATGTTTTCAAAAATGTTAATGAAGTTTGTCTTCCACCCTGTTATTAAAACAAAATGTAAAGATTGTGCGAATGAAGTAACAATAATTATTTGTGCGTGGTGCACCAAACCATATGTATCATAAAAACAGTTAAAACATAATCACCAAAAATGTCATTCTTATGAAACAGTAATTGTAACTATTTATTACATACATATTTTTTGTGCTGTAAACTTTTGAAAAATAATTTTTGAATTCTGATATTTCATAAAGAATAAATGGCATAAAAATTGCGCATAACAAAAAACATTTTTCATAGAGGATGTGAACCCACACATAACACCCTTCACACAACACCTTAACTAATCAAGCCATGCCATTAACACACAAATGGCATTTCTGCATAGGTATTAATAGTTCAAGAATGCCTGATTAGTGGGACCTGCAGCTTTGCTAGCATTTAAGTACGAGTAAATACTACACATCCACAAAATTTCGTCAAAATTGGTTACAACAATCTCCCGGGTTCCCCTTGTAAGTAAAATTATGCAGATGCCAGTGAGAAATGTTTGAAGTTCTGTAGTCTACGAGCAAAAATCATTGGTTGTAAGGCCAGAAATGCCTGTGACAAAATTGAAGCTTCTATTGATACTAGTTCTTTCTCTGTCTTGTTTTCATATTGTCATGCACAGAAAATTTGCTACGTCTACACAACCATAGTCACAAGTAGAGCTGTGTGGTTTGAGGTTTATGTGACTAATTAATATTTGTTTTGCTTCATTGCCAGTCGCAGATTGCAAACCATATGAAAATGTTTTATCTTTCAGATGTAGCCATCGCGCATCCTTTATATGATCCTTTTGGACGTGAAGCACATGACCCCCATTATCTCCCCACCTCCTCAGCCTTTAATCACCAAAATTTACTAGCATCACTCCNGAAAATTTGCTACGTCTACACAACCATAGTCACAAGTAGAGCTGTGTGGTTTGAGGTTTATGTGACTAATTAATATTTGTTTTGCTTCATTGCCAGTCGCAGATTGCAAACCATATGAAAATGTTTTATCTTTCAGATGTAGCCATCGCGCATGGAGTACAAAAGTCGGAGAAAATGCCTTCGGATGAAGTGGTCGTGCAAAATGGCTTGAAAAGTTATCCTTTTGACGCAGACAGATATCCTAATGTATATAGCGAAAGTACTCTTGGAGTAGTCCCACTAGTTCATTCCGCTCACCTGTACAAAGATTACTTTAGAAGATCGGGTAAATGACTCAAAATTGCAGAGCCTTTAAAGTGGCACATACAATTAGCAACCACTAACGAGGAGTATTGTAAATTTGCAGGAAAAGACACGTCGTGTTCGGCCCTTGCTAGCAGAAACCATTCCATAAATGGATCCGTAAAGCAGTCTCCACTGTCGAGGTGTTCGAAAAGGCACTGTTATTCAAAGCTGTGGATCCCAAAACATAAGAAACAGAAGTTAAAAACAAACGAAACACTATCTGTTAAATCTCTCGATTATCCATCAGACGCTTGCAGAAAAGAAGGTACGTTTCAGAATCTTATTCTCGTGTAGGTAAACTTAATTCCTAATGCATTTGCATTTAATTACAGGAGGAGAAAAAGACAAAATGGGGATCAGCCATGACACGAAGGAGACACCGCATACCTCTGTTGTTGGTTACCAATGGCCAGGCATCGAAATGGTAATGGAATCATACAGACATTATGTCACAGGTTGGTGGGTTTTCTTTTCTCATATATCTGTAAATGATTACAAAAAACAATTTACATTTATTAATAAATATACAGAAAGGAATTTAGAGAGGGAAATTCTTATGGAGAAGTGTCGTTCCTTGAAAATCGAGAACAGGTGGCTGAGTGCAAAGTTGGAGAAAAAGAGGAGTTGCATGCTGGTAAGACACTTGCATTATTAATATAAACACATTGTATGTTCTTAGCAAAACACTTTCGTTTAATTTAGAAACTAATCGAGAAGAAGAAGTGGTTAGAAAAGAGGAACAAAATCCACAAAGTCGCATTAGACAATCTCAAAAGGTATCTCAGAGAACTCAGATAGCAATCAACAGATGTATTCAAAGTTGCTCTGTTCGTCGGTCTAAGGTCCGTTCCCAAGTTTATCTCCCCTTGCAACAGACTGCTCTAGCAATCATCTCGGACTGAACATTAGTCAAATTAGAAACGACGTGGAGACGCCCGGGTTAAACTCTAAAGTGCCCATGGCTGCCGAATTACATATTCGATCGTTTTGGCTATAAATTCTCTCACCACGATTTTTATTTTATTGAGACTTCTTGCACAAAGATACAGAACCAAACTAATTTATTTTTAAACGACGAATTGTGATAAGAAACAAAACATCATGACGCACCGCTTAGGGATTTTTATTTATGGATGTTTGCATACTTTTTGTAATTAATTTTTGAAATCCACGTGTCGTCGGTCGTATAATTACAGAATCGTTATTTTTATAAAACGGAACCATTCCGAGAGCGCACCACTATTTTCGTCTTTCAGCATCCGTGCACCGATCACGTCACGTGGACAGTTTCTGTTTTCGTTTGCGACTAGTCATTGAAAAGGGATCCGCGCCGACTTCGGAACTGCACAAATTTTGGTTCGTCGAGAGTTCCTTTATCGTCGTCGACGTGGTAGGCGATCTCACCCAAATAGAACCGAGTAATAAGAATATTTAGAAAAAGTGCCTTTGTGCTTTCTGAATGTACAGTACACAGGAATTTGACACTTAAACAGTATTCCCCTTTGTAAAAGTGTGAATATTTCTACTTTAAATCTAAATAAAAAGAAAAATATTCTTGTTAGTAGCACTCTTCATTTACGGCACGCCCCATAAAATTTTATTCCTTTTTATTTTAACGAGAAATGTACAATGATGCAGATTACAAGTTGATTCAACGGATGAATTGTATAATACAAAATGTACAGTATCACGGGAACAAAGTTCGTCGATTATAATTTAAATTTACAAAATAAAAATGTAACAACCATACAAAAGAGAACTCAAAACTAATAAAAAAAAAAAAAGAATTAATTTTCATTTTTCTGCAGAATTTGTTTTTTTCAGTTAACAGCTGCAAACTAGTGTCTCGTTCGGAGGTAGATTCTAATTTCCAAAGGAACAATCTCTGTCCCGTTTGAAAGGATTCGCCATAAAATCTCTCACGTATTAACAGATGGTCGCTGTTGCGGATTTCATAACTGTATCATGGGCACGTCGAACAGGTCGCAGACTCCCTCGCTGTCGTCCAGATTGAAACAGTAGTCTCGATCTGTCGGAGGGGGGCTCAGCCTCAGCAGAGGAGAAAACACTTCAAAGACAAGCGATTATTTTTAGAAACATACAATTTTGGGGGCACGAATTTTAAAGGCGATACTCACTTTCTGTCGACATCAGTTCGTCAATGAAGTTTTCGTCAAAATCTAAAAGGGAAATTTAATATGAAATTACTTATAGTGTTTGTTAGTACAGAATAAAACAAATAAAAACTGTTTCAACACTTCACATCATACTGATCCAAAACAGTGGATTCATCACAGATGGTTTAATGGGTGCCCCAACAAAACTGTCACACTTGTTAGGTAAGGTTTGTACCAATCCTATGTGAACAGGACAGTGTTAGATGATACATGCGAGATGCATTTAGATGTGCAAATATTACCATTAATCTTAACCCACTAGAATGCCATAATTGGGGATATACACCATACAAAGTCTGTATAGCATTGAGGACTTGAAGCCCATTTTGAAAAGATTGGAATGGAATTCCAACAGATTTCATTTGTGCTGCCCATAATGCATTCACTCCAAGGATGAAAGTTGTGCAGGCAAAAGGAGAACAAAACAAATTCAATGTTTTGCATAATTTAAACTGTCATTTGTACAAAAAATACAAATTTAAAAACGAAACTTGTTTGCATTTTATTGCTTAAAACAAGTGTCACAGTTTCATTGGGGCACCCTGTATAATCTCTAGAAAATTTGTGCAGTGCAAAGGTATTGATACTCGTTTTGTGTTTGAATTCTGTAAGTTACTAACAACAAATTGTATAGTGTACCAGTGCTTTGCTTTAAACTGTACAGTTAGACTGCATCTGGCAGATCATAAGGAATAAAAAAAATATCATTTTAAACAGTAGAACTCTCATTAAATTACAAAGGTATGGTTTGGATTCAAATCATAATCCTTTCTGGCAGTAGGTCCTTATTATGTAGACATTCATTGGCGGTTATAACGACTCTTAAAGTAAACCGATCTTGCATAAAATATTTGTACTTTCTGAATTGTTTTGCCGAAAGCAATGGAAACTTTAATAATAGAGTTTCTCTTCTAACAAATTTATCTATCATTTTGCAATGCTGTCCCCAAATTCCTTGAAAACCAGGACTGCGTGTCCGAGTCTTTGATGTCTTGTACGGATGACATTTTCCAACAGCATGGATTCAATCCCGGAGTGGCAGGTTATTAACTAAAATTTTCATCATATAATCCTTTGATTGTCTGGTAAACCACTGTCCTGTCCTACCACCCCCACATCCAGTTTAAATTAGTAGTTAAAGATAAACTAAATAACATTAGAAATAAACAAGGGTAATAAAGAAGTATGTTGTTAGATGGATGTAAAAACAAATATTAAATAAGCCACTAGTATTAGTTTGAAAGTGACAAAATATTAAAAACATTTTTAAATATTAAAAACTACCACCAGAGGGCCAGAAGCAGTTTAAAAAGTGGATAAAAATGGAAATGGTGAAGAATTTCTTTTGTGTTTTTAATTGTAAAAGTGTCAGAAACCTACAAGGAAAGGCTGGCACTTGATCTTTTTTAACCTTGTGAAGTTTTTTTTTTTACCAATTTTTACCTGTGTTTTAAGAAGAGTTCTTCAAAGCAATTTTTTTTAAGACTGTTAGTTCTGTGGTAGTGTAAAAAAGGATAAAGATAGACTCAAAAGTTATTTTGACTTTTTGTAAATAGTCTAAACTTCGAATTATGAAAAAACATTTTTATTGAAAGAACAAAAAACTTGAAATTCTAATTAAAAAAACAGAATCGAAATTTAAAATCTGCTCTATGTGGTTTCTGAACTTGCTTTTCAGTTAAGTTTCTCAATATTAGGACTGATTTTTGAGATTGATAACAGAAGCAGATTGCCCACATGAATGTCTGTCAATACAGATCGGTACTTATTTTTAACAAAGCTCGTTGCCGAAAACATCTGCTCACAAATGTAGATGGAACCAAATCTACACACAAAATATGGGACAAGATCGTGCATTTGTGGGTAGTCAATTTTAGGAACAAATTTCCAGAAGGCTTTCAAATCAGGGGAAGTCGACAATTCACATAATTCTCAAAATTTTGCTATAAGTCCAGAGTGATTTTTAATGTCTTCAATTTCCAATTGCATTTTGGGTGGCTATTTCCTTATTTCACTCTTTGAAATGGATTGATGAATAGAGGGAGGTTAATTTTAAGGAATTTGTGCCGTTTCTTTCCTTAGTTGATTTTTCCTTTTCACTTCATCACCACGCAGGCTATTCCAAATACAGGTGGCCCTCACCTCTGCATTAGGGGGATGCAAATGTTTGAACAACTATTGTTTTATTGTAAGCCTGCATGTTAAAATCTGATATAGTCCCTACGTAGTTGTATTGCATAGTTTTTAATTGATGAAAATCGACAAAAGCTTTTCAGAGATATTTAAGAAAAACCATAAAATTTTTAAATTTTTGTGCTGCAGCACTTGTAAGTTTGAATCCAAAAATTGGTCTGGGGTATAGTTTGGGGCCGGGGCCAACTCTGCCAAGAAAGTTTTGGCCCGACTGGAAATTTAGGTAGGAACACCATAGGCCAGGGATGGCCAACAGTTTTTGCGCCCGGGCCGAATTAGAAAGAAAACGTTTTCCATGGGCCGAACCAGAGGCTGTCCTAGGAAGATTTTCAGGTCGTGCGAGATCTCATTGCAGTGTCACCCCGTAGAGACTAAACTGTACATAGAGATTACAGATACATTTTTCACATCATCATTCTTTATCAACATTCTACGCTGTACTTATGAGATTTGTAGTGGAGGGTTAACTCTAAACGCACAGTGAGTTATTGACCTTTTTTTTGTTTTTTAGGCATCAGAATTTTTCATCAAGCTATTCAAGCTTGAGTAGCCAATATTGAAAGATTGATCGCGGGCCACATAAATTCATTAGACGGGCCATATGTTGGCCATGCCTGCCATAGGCATAATGCTTCTGTATACATCTCTGAGATTTTGTAACTTAATGTCACACCTTTCAAATTTACATAAATTCTCTCTGAGCCTAATGCTGCAAACTGCAGGTGAGCAAGCAAAAAAACCTAGTGTCGAGTGACAAATTTTTTGTTATTCTATAGTCAACCAATGAGCAGAGATCATAGTCATTGAAATACTGGATCATATCATGTGATTTATTGGAACGAGGCCCGTTGATAACTCGGTGCAGTTTGATTCCTTGGCCAAAATATGCCGAGCCATTTATAAATTTAATACAGTCATTGAAGACAAGTGTATGGCAAAATTAAAATTTTGGTTATGGGGTTGGTCTCATTTTTAAATTTTAACATGAAGCATGTTTAGTGGAAAATTTTCTCACTCGCTTCTGCTTATTCATAATCTAAAGTGCAAAATTCTACTTGGCAGTTTGATATTTTTCGTATACTAGTGTAACAAATCTCTTGTTAATTTTTAAGTGACGTCATTAAATGGCATTGTTAATATACGACTGGACTCAATTAAACAATTTCTATACTTGCGGTCATGACAAAAATGCATTCCAAAAGCTGCATAATCATTTATCACAATTTAGAAATTTACACTGTATTAAATAACAAGATGTGACCGACACGTCTATTGTTAAATCACACCACTTTATGAATTCTAATGCTTACCTTTCATCGACTCAAAGAGCATTTCGTCGTTCAAATCTTTAAGAATTTCTGGTTGCACCACCGTCCCTGGAAAAAAAAAAAAAAAAAACCAAATGTGCAGGGTGTTAAAAAATCATCCGGCATTTATATGGTAGGTAGTAAGCACTCACAATGATTAAAAAAAATCCTTAGTAAACTTATCTGAAATAGCAGAGTTTTTGACCTTATAATTTTGTTTGTTGTGTACAACAATAAGTCAGTTGTGATACTACATGATGTGAAAATTGAAGATAACCTTTTGAAATCTTTACCTTGATATTTTACAGATGTTTATACGCTCACTTGCCATCGTTGAGTTGCAAACTCTCAAATTCCAGGTCTCTGTCAGATTATTTTTCACAGAAATGGCTGAGTTTTCAATCCTGTTTACTAAGGATTTTTTTTACCTGTATTGTATGTGCCATCTACCATATAAATTCCAAATGCTTTTCTTTAACGCCCTGTAACTTAGTGTCTTTCTTCTACTACATAAAACTGTACAATTTACAAACTTACCAGGTGTCGTAGGTGTCTGAATAGTCTCGGTAGATTCTAACTTTGGGACACTTTTGGACTGAATGGTGGAAGGCTGACTGTTCTTCCTGGGAGACTGACGTGTCGACATTCTTCTGGGAGGACTGGATTCTTTTGTCTGACAAAGAAAATTTGATTTTAAATGCGATCGTTCCAGAGTTCCGGAAAATCCAAATCTCTGAACCATCACCTCAATGATCTTCTGAGCAGATTTGTTAGAAGACCCTTGACGCGTCTGCCTGCTGTACGTGCGAACGGATGTGGAATTCTTGGATTTTGGATCGTCTCCAGATTCCGCAGATTTGTCTTGGGCATCTTCTATCAAATCATTATTTTGTTGTTTTTCAATTATTTCTTTAGGAGGAACCTTTTAAAATAAATATATGTCAATTATATCAAATCAGTGTGTTCAGATAACAAATAAATGATCACTAGATGATTGACCGAAGCAGTTATCTTCACACATTTACCTGTACAACAACGGGAGAAGCTAGTTCATTTTCCTTATTTACCAATAACACATTTATGGGTCCCGAACAAGACTTCAGATGGATGAGAAACCGTTTTGCAGAACCCGTAATCTAAAATAAATGTTGAGAATCAGACGCAAAAAACACCAATTTGTCATTTCGTATTTTTATTTTACCTTCTCCGGCATGGGAACTTCCAGCTGGGTGCCAGGAGGAGCCTGAATGGCGAGCAGAGTGTCTCCGAGAAAACACTTACAGATGTCTTCGTGACTGACGTACGCCAGCTGGTGATTTATCGGTTCTTCGGTAATGTTTCGTATGCTCTGCTGTACCCAAGAACGATGCAGGTCGATCTCTTTCTCTTTCTGGTCGAGCAGGTCCAACTCATCCTTCAGTGCTATCAGCCGATCCGATATCTCTCTGGTGTTGCATCCTGGTCCAGCACCTCTACACACAAAATTCAAAGTCAGTCATTCAGAGACGGGAGATTATTTCGATGACGGAAATAACTGTTGGCAAAACTTACTTCCATTGAATGCTATTTTTTGATTTCTTCTCGATCAGTCCGATGCCTTCTAGCACGTTAGTGATGTCGTATATCCTCCTCTTCTGCCTCACGGCTAGCGTATCTGCTGCCTGAAAACAAACACATTAAATTTAAGTTGTGCAAAGTATCTGAAAACATAGAATATCACCATTTAAGTTGTAACGTGTATACAGAGCAAAAGACGTAGAAATGTTTTTGAAAGTTCAGTTTAAACCATCACACGAAACACCTTTCGAATAAATATTAATTAAGCCCTTTTTCAGATCTGACAAATTTCATCACAAAAATGCAATTTGTTCAATTTAAACTAACTTTATTTTACATCCTTTATTTAATTACTGGAAGAGGTTTAAGTCAAAATATATCAAAACTTAGCAAAGATGTTGGACATTTATATTTTAACGCAAGCCCTACCTAAGGTAATAAATACATAATGTAAGATGTGCAAAAAGATTGCAGTTTAATTAAAAACAAAAAAAAAAGCCAGGAAATCTTCATTGGCACAATGTATGGAGGATTCTTCAATACTTGTTGCTTTTGGCTCAAGATTCATATGTTTTTTATCAAATAATATCTGAGAATGATCCCAAAATAGTTTATGACAAGAGTACTGTATTTGACAAATAACCTGTTCTAATATACCTGATGCTATATTACATTATGTATTTTGTCAGGTCACACGATCCTTTAGCTTTCTAAAAAATATTTAAACATTGTTAGAAGCTCCTACAATTATAACTACACAACTATGGAAATTTCCAAACCAATTTCCACAAATAAAGTAGTAGTAGTAATAGTAGTTCAAAACCACCCGAATTATTTACGATCCACTTATGCCACATCTAACAAACATTTGTGATATTCTTTGGCGTAATACTTATTTATTCTGCATTTAAATTGACCCGCGCTCTCACAAGTTCAATTTCCCCATCCCCGTTAATCTTCATACGTAAAGGGTAGAATATGCATTGCACTTGCACATTACATTCACCATGCATTATGGTTATGAAGTGGGACTTGCCAAGTTATTTTGCAAAAAATTGCACTTTTATGACATACTTTATTCTAGTCTTAGTGTTTAAATTACACTTCTAATTTGACAATAACGTAAGGAATATATTATTAATAAAAATGATTAAGCATGGAATGTGAGAGCATAAAACAATAACATTCCTTGGAATTATTGGTAAGAAGATTGTTCTCCATCACACAAAAAAACTCACAATCAGATTATGGTATCCTCAAAACAGTACAACCTCACTATACATGCCATAGCAACTGTAAACCCTCTCTACAGTGAGGCCCACCAGTGACCGAGTGGTCTTTGTACCCTGAACACTGGAAGTTTGGTTGTGGGTTCACGCCTCGCTTGGATGGGCTGGCCACATGGAGTTTTCCAGGTTTTATCCATGTCTGTAATGTCTAAATAGGGGCCAGTTTCCCTTAATTAATTAAAAGACCACCGGGAAGACACCCCCTAGGCAGATCACCCAAGTGTCGCGTTGCCATACATTAACAAACAAACAAACAAACTCTCTACCGTACGGGGTGCTTCGTGACATAAAATAAATATGATGTTATTTTACTGATTTAAGAATTATTACAATCCAAAGTTTTAAATTAAGGATTAAATCAAATTTTTAAATTGTAATTATTTGTGTAATTGTTCCTGAAAAGCTGTAGCCAAACTGAGGCTTAATAAAATAAAATACTCGACTTAACAAAATAAAAATATTACTCCGCTACTGATTCGTGTCCATTCATAATTGTTGGAATACAATTGTGAACTGACATGAAAGGTTACCAAACTGATTTAGTCTTTGTCACACTGCATTTTATCAAAATTTCACTTGCAGAAAAATAATTCCTTTGCGACACAGTTTATGTTTATACCATTTTTGAATCAGTGTCGATGAACTGAATTCTTTTTCTCACCAATCATGGCACAAAATTTTAAATTCTGAAATTCAAATTTGGAAGTTTCAGATTGAATCATTTGTAATCATTTGGCTGTTGATAACTGAATTAATCATTTAAATTCAAAATTTTATTTTTATAAAATTACAAATGTAGCTTCTTTTAAATTAAGAACTTATTTCATCAAATAAAACAATAAAAATTTCTCGACAAATTAAAACACATTTACCATATACAGTGATGCCTCGTATAATGTACTTAATCCATTCCAGGTGCACGTCCGGTTAAGTGAATAGTCCGTTATAAGAAACGCATTTTCCCATAGAAACATATGTTAAAACATATAATTCGTTCCGCAGCATAAAATAACCGTACTGTACCATAAAAAAATGAAAATGGAGCAGTCACCAATTATGCCAGGTAGTCAGATGTTGTGAGGAGGAGGCGGAGGAACACTTTCTTCACACATTCATACAGATACAGACTTTTTACACATTGCAGTGGGTCTTTTTTTTTTGTTTTTTAATCGGATTCAGATTCAGGAGAGGCTACCGGAGCTTGCAGGGTCAACTCCTCTTGTTCCATCCTTTGTTTTTTGGCAGCTGGCTTCTTGAAAAACATGTCCAAGGTGGTCTGTTTCTCTCTCTTCTTCAACACCTGTCGGAAATGACGGGCAAGGGTGTCATTGTAGAGATCATTGATCCTGTTGGCCTCAGCTCTGTTTGGATAATGAGTGTTGGTAAACTCCTGAACCTCTCCCCATTTGACAAGGAAGTTTTTGTCAACTTTCACTCCTTCTGATGATTTCTTGCATTGTTTCAATTGAAATCACTTTTCTGTTTTTTTAGAAGCCATGATTTGCACAACACTTGAATAAATGTAAATACCCTGCACTGTGTTCATGTACCTAATAAACAAGGGAGCAAGCCTAATCCCAACGCTCTGTACTTCAGATATACTGATAATATATTCTAATAATACTAATATATTATAAAAATAACATATTGTCATTGGCAATGACAAAAGAGTGGAAACATCATTCGCACTTGTTCGTAGAAAGTCCATTGGTCGCCTCACGTAACTGCCAAACGGAAAGTCCGTTGTCCGCAACCAGTCCATTGCTTGAGCCAAGTAACGGCCAAACAGAAAGTCCGTTATTCGAGGCATACATTATACGAGGCACCACTGTATTTGCACGGAATAAAAATTCACAAAACTGAATGCCAGCTTGAGAAATTAACAGGTAACAAGGTGATATTTACAGATGTGTGTGTTAAAATTACAGATATTTTTAAAATTTACTCAACTGTTCTACATAAAAGTAAGAAAATGTATTTTTAGAAGATGCATTTACAGAACATATCCCTCTAAGTTTCAATGAGTAGAAGTTCATCTCTGAACGATGTAGCCAAGACCTTATCAGAGTAGTAAACCATGCCTGTATGAGTATAGTAGTCAAACATATCACCCTCTGCAAAACATATCTCCTCCAAAATCACCTATCTGGAATTTTAAAGACCCTCAAAAGGGAGAAAAATTTAAAGTGTAAAATCCAGAACCATTTTTCAAAAAATACTAAAAATAAACTGTTATCCATTTACTAGACAGGGCTAAAAGCTGAAGAAACACTACTGCACTGACTACTTATGGAGTATACCTACATACAATATATACTACACCACTATGTCCTGTGAAAAGTCTCACATAGACCATCGATTCCTTTGACTTTTTACTCCTAAGAGAATGGTCTATAGCTCTAGTAAGGTCCCAAATGCCTCATTCAGAGATATCTATACCTTTCAATGGGATAACTAACCTTAATTTTGCACAAATCTTTAGTTTGTGTTCAGGAACTCAACTCCTTTATAAATTGCAGTTGCAATTTGTAAAGGAGTTTGGTCACGGGTTCGCACCTCACCAGGACAAACTGGTCATGTTGAGTTTTCTGGGTTTTCTTCACATCTATAACACCTGAATAGGGGCCAATTACCCTTAAAAAGACCTCCTGGAAGGCATCCCCCTATGCAGATTGCCCAAGTGCCAATTGCTGTAAATTAGTTAACAAACATAACAAACAAACAAAAACTGTAATAATTTTAGTGTTACTATCGCCAAAATTGTGTAAAGTGTCTGGTTTATATGTTTTGGTGAATACAAAGATCAATGGAGATGGGATTAAAGTATTTAAACATGTCAAATGTTACTTATGTTAAAGTATGATGCTTAAGCCAGGTATTACTAAACAGGTAAAATTGCAGATCTGAACGACACTCGTTAGCTCTTAACAGAGCTGTAGACATATCCATACAAGCGAAATACTCCAACAAAGCATATCTTTACATGCAACTCTTTGTAACATATTTCCTCCAACGACGAGAGTTCTGGTTGCCACCTTGCTTGCAGACATCACATTTGCACATGGCACTGGTGTCATAAGGTGACCAGTGCCTATAACAAATAATAAATGCATTAACTTCTACTGACTGAAAATAGTTTTTACCTATTCTCTGTGCTCTGCATCAGTCAAGGCTTACTGTCACAAACCTATGCTCCACATGTAGTTGTGCATTGAGGTATGAATAATTGTTCGCATGGATTAGACAAACCCTCACACCCACTAAATCTATATATGAGTACTCCACGAATGGCCAACCAGGCTAAATAGTTAAACATGACAGTCTCAGAGGATTGACAGTAGTCTCGATTGCACACATCCCAGAATTAGGCCGATTTCAAGGGGGGGCAGAAGTACCATTCCATTGACTTTTCTGGGTAAGATTCAAGCTCCGAATTATGGGTTTTTTGACACCCCTTGTACGAGCAGAAAAGTCAAAGGAATCATACCCATACATACAACCCGTCGTGAGATACTCACTTCCAAAGGTCAGTTTTTAACACATCAGTATACTGCCTATTCTCCATACTCCATATTGTCGCAGCGAGCGATCTCCACATTCTGCGTCATCAAGGCTCGCTACAGTTCGCCTCGACCGACACTCTACACATAATCGTGAGAGCGATAGCAAGCACCAAAGCACCCAGATGGGACGAGCTGCCCACTCCCGTAAAACTATATAACATCGAGTACTCCACGAACATTCGAGTGGACTACTCAAAGCCAGCATAGTCACGTGGGCTAAATAGTTAAACACGATAGTCTTAGCATAGAGACACAACACGTAATCTCGTGCGACCTGATTTTGGGGGTGTATATGGCGAAGAGTTGCTTGCAGAGGTATGATTCCTTTGACTTCTTTGCTCCAATAGGTATGCTCCACAGCTCTGATAAGGTCCCAAATGTCTCGTTTAGAGGAGTAATTGCACCCCTGAACAAGTGCACGTCTTGTATACCTGAAACGCGTGGATGACAGAATGGAGTTTTTTTCCAGGTGTACCGGCTTTAGAATCATTCAAACGCCGGTGTTTATATAGATTAAGCCATTAATTTAAGGTACAACACCTGGAATTTAGCAGTAAACGGCGTAGTTTACGAGAGGAAATCACCGCACTGTCACTAGTAAACGGCGCATTGCAAGGTGCAAGTTCACGCCCCCCTTCGATACGTAATCAATCCAATCCCCTCACACGTCGCGAAACGTAAAAATCGCGGTTCGGACTCGCTTAGAAATCCATCGCGATCACCTTAGAACGTTAATCGCGTCCAAAAAATCGCGTTTAAAGTCAGCGACTCGTCGCGTCCACTCGACGCGTTTGAGCGGAAATTTTAAAAGGCGATTGGATGCCTCGCTGGGTTTTTCTTAGTCTTTCGGCTTTCCCGTCCGTTTTAGTTCGTCCCTCTTACCACTTTAAGATCTAAAACTCCGTCTTTAGCTTCCTGCAGTAGTGACACGAATTTTGTTGTTAATAAGCCTAAACTTTTCTCGTGTCGACTCGGTAAGTTGTTGTCGGCCATTTTGAATTTACATAACCGTTAAAATCGTGATAGTTGTGGAAATGGACGTCCGGTGGCGCTTTACAGTACATGTAACTACGTCTTCGCTTTTTTAGCCCAAAAATAAAAAATGTATTTTTTTAATGTGGGGAAATCTATGTCATAGACATTTTCTACTGTAAATGAAATAAAATTAATTAATTAATTAATTAAATTGTATCATTTTCCAAACTCTATTCTGATTGAGTAAGTCCATTTTGACCCTGGTCTTGCAGAGTTTCGAGACTAATTTTCTATATTGTTTGACCGACGTTGCCAGAGTTAGTGGATGAAGAGTACATGATAATAAAGGACTTCCAGTTTATCTACCCGTTTATTAAACTATCACCGCGTTTCTGCGCTCTTAGGGACTTCCTACTAGCCAACGTGGAACACGCCCACAAATATCGCAAACACATTCTGGAACTGGCCCATTTGCTGTTACAATTTCCTTTTTCTTATTTAATAACTCCATTTATGTGGGGGAAGAGGTGTTTTCATAGACAGCCCCACGTCCGGGATCCTTTGTAAACTTGTCGTTCGCAGATTGGAAAAAGAAATTCCATCAATGTTTCTACACCAAAATGTGGTTTACGCTAGATATGTCGATGATATTTTTATTTTATAGAGCAATAAACCGGACCCAAATCTGTTTCAAAACAAACTAAACGACAATCCTTATGGTGTTCTTATTAGCTTTGGAGCGAGAAAGTGACACTTCGGTCCATTTTTTGGACATAGGCCTATCTATCAGCTGTAAAGACGGGGGAATTCAAACTAATTTGTAACGTAAACCCACGTAACAACCTATTTTCATATTGCGCAATTCCTGCGATCCACCATCCGTACAGCTCTCAGCATTCAGGTCCTTAATTAATGCGACGGGCCTACACCTGTTGCTCTAATATAATGGTCAATTACATTGAACTTGATTATATTGAAAGAATTGCCGAACAACATGTAGGAAATCTACAGTTCTAATATGTAAATTTAGAACTGTAACTTTCTAAAAGCGCTAATTAATTAATTAGCGCTTTTAGAAACACAAGAGCTGCGTCTTCCCAACTGACATCTAAGAGGAGAATTGCGTTACATTATTTTCCCATATTAGGACGAATACACAAAGGAATAGCCGATGTAAACATGCGTTGTAAACATGCGATGTAAACATTGTATATAACCGTAATCCGGCGGTATTTGGAATCTTACGTAACGACAAGGATCGTATCAGCCATAATAGCTCTTATGGTGTTTACACGATTCGATTGACAAGTATCTGATATATATGGGAGCTACCAGATGTAATGTACCTCGAAAAAAGAATCTAGGAACATACCATAAATATACAGAAAAAAGCATTTCAACTCTACCGCCTTAGCGGCTTATGCCGCCGAACGAGATATAGGAATAAAGTGGCATGCGGCCAGAATCATTAGACCGGCTAAAACCCCTAACTATTAGGTTCTTAGAAATGTTGGAAATTTTTAAAGCCAACCAGAAATTATTTAGTACTAACTATAGGGATGCGAATATCTTGCCTACGGCATGGAAGTCCTTATAAGAAATATAACCTGGACTTGGTCCTTCAATTATTTCTGTTTATATTAATTTTGATTATATTTTATTGTTATTTTTACATAATACATTGGGTGTTGTTTGAAATTCTTAAAAATAATTTTCAAATATGTTCGTTGTACGCATTCTATTTTGGAATTTTGCTGGTTAAAAAAAAAACCTGATGCAGACCGTGGGAACGGTCGAAAACGTTTGTTTTCATGAAAATTTGTCTTACTGGTGTTTAAAAATCCTTGATTGTGTGTGATCTATTCCAGTAATTCGGTAAGAAGATGGTTTAATATTGTTATTTTTATTTATAATTGTTAATTAATTTATTTTTTATCTATGAGTGTTCCCTTTAGAACACCGCTTAGATTTTAAATTATTTCCGTTGAATTCGATATATTTGTTCTTTTATTTTAAATGGTGTAATTCTAATCACCAAACATATGCCGTAAATCCATCGGGCTAGTTTTAAGGCTAATTACTAAATAAATTACGTAATTAATTTGAAACTAGAGGTAAGCGTTAGGCGCCATCTCTTATTAATATTAATAATTATAAATTAATTAATTAATTTAAATAATTTAGAACCGCTGGGAGAAAAAATCGGCCCGGAGCGGGACTCGAACCCACAACTCCTGCTTACCGTGCAGATGCGTTGCCAGTTACGCTATCCGGACCTCCGATCCGATCTCCTCTTCCAGCGTATAACTATGTAACCATCGACGGTTNAATATATAATTATATGTACAGTACCTAATTTATATATAATTTATATAATACTGTCCAGACGATAGAAATCTCTCCGTAGCGTGGCGCTACGGACGGCGGGAAAGTAGTTCGGCTTCCCGATGACGTTTGAGGTGTTTATAGGGAACTTTTACTATTTTTTACGGATACCGGTAGCAATTTTTTCGTAGTTTTATAGGAATCGTAACTATAGGGACCGTAATTATAGGGGGGTCGACTGTAATAAAAACCCCGAATTTCAATGACAAGAGTGTTTCTCCCTTCAATTTCTCTCCGTGCCGAATCTTACTTGGCTGCATTCTCAATTTCATTCTTGATTCTCTCTCTGTTCGTTACCTCACCTCTGGTCCGTCGTCAACATCGTCCCGCTAAAACAACGGAAGGACCTTTCTCTCCTAAATAGATCCTTTTCTCAGGACTCTCTTTTCTGAAAGTAAAACAAAAGATTCAACAGACTTTCTCTTCTCCTGCAGAGAACATCAAGAGCGCTAGTTTCTGTAAGCTTTTTAATATAAATAAATCGAAACGATTTGGTTTGTAACCGTTTGTCTCTGTGTTTGTATACCCATATACGAATCCATTTCTCTCTGTTCTGACTTGAGTGCACAATTCGGAAACCTCGCGGTTTACTATTTTAACCACTCGACCATTGGTTGGCTCAATTAATTATAAGCCTATTTTCGAAAAAAATTCTGTGGGCTTTAGATCCATCCGAATTTGATTCCTGGTACCCCAGAACTGTAGACCGACGCTTATCTCCGCCTTCTGACAAGCTCAAAAAACTAACCACGCGTCCACTAGCATGGCCCGTATATGAAACTTATAATTTACATAATTTGTTATGCTTAAGATTTTAGTTATTAATAATGAGTAATATAATTATAACAAGATAAAAATGTTATTATATTTTCAAGTTTTATTTATGAAAAGCTACTTAAAAATCATTACATTTTGTAAGTAATTTTATTAAAGTCAAATTTCAAATTACATATACGGAGAAGTGTTGCCACACGATATGTAACTTCATCTGGCAGCAATGCTTGTTTACGTTAGAGTTGCCGTTTTTTCAAATTTTGGAAAACTTGACTTTAATTGATGTCATTACGTGTTTTCTATATTTGTCTTTTTAAGACAAATACTTTACAAAAAATACAAAATTACATTAAAACGTATCGAAATTTTGTATTCTCATTAAGTCACGTGATGCAGTTCTGTGCGAACGAAACGATCCGATTGTCTGACAATCGATTATCGAATAAGAAAAACCGTTATTTTAACGCGAAAGAAACTTGAGCCAATGAAATTCAAAATGTTAAGCGCAAGCGCAATCGAGACATCGTGACACCGTTACAAGATTATGTCGCCATTTTGGTGAGTTACTGTTTAATTAAATTTGTAATTTTTTCATGATGAACTATAGTAAGACTGAAAATAGAAAATTCTATTGCACCACCCCAATGATTTTCGTTAAGAATCCATGCACAATTTTTTTATTGGATTTCCCTAGAAATGCTTCATTATTTGTTTCAGGATCAGCAGCTACTGTCTCTATATATTCCAATGACGTATAAATTTTCTATTACACAATTTACTAATAGGTGTAATTGGACATATACCGAAACTCATGCAAGCTCAATTCTCAATTGTAAGTCTTTCCGCCCTGTGGGCACTTTTTTAGCCAGCCCATTCGAGTTCGGTCAGGGGGCGGTCGGGTGATAAGGGACGGAGTCCGACATATCCGGTCGGACCACCCTCCGAATAATTCCTGGGGTTTAGCGACCCGTTCGGATTCGAACCCGGGTCCCCCAGAGCGGTAAGCTACTATTTTGACCGCTCGGCCATCCGGCCGCAAGCTGTGTTCCTGTACCCGGAAATCGCTAAACAAGCAAAGCTTATAATGACAAATTTAATGAATATAATAAATTATATGAATATAATATATAACGGAAAAATAGTGTTCAAAATTAGTAAGTTTTATTCTAGTTGGCGAATCCATCATAAAGTTTGATTTGAGTTCTAACGTGCAGCGATCTGACGTAATTTTGTTGCACGTTAGATGATTATCGAATATGGCAAGTAATTATAATAAAACATTTTATAATATAATTTTATATTAACGCTATTTAAAAAAAGTTCTCGTGAATCTTTCGAATTATTAATGAAATCTTCCGAAATTTTAAAATTTAATTATCTGAGTTTCTTACGAATTGGCAACACTGTACGTTATAACGATGACGGTAGAAAGCGCGCGTGGAGACAAATTTCGCGACGTTCTGAGTATAGTGTTGATAAAAGGTAAAGAAGGTTAATTTTAGCGTGTAAGGACTTCATTTTGAGTATGTTTCTGCCGAATTTGATGATATTACACCTGCTTCTTCAGTTTAAGTGGCCTTAAGGTAAATGCTTTGTTCAATTTCTCCTTCATTTGTTAATTTATTGATTTTATTGATTTAGCTTTAAATATGTATTTAAAGGTAAGGGTCAATGTCCAGGGTCGTAGACCATCATGGCGGCTCTTCCTATTTTAGCCTCGAAACCGGACCGCTTTGGAGACGACGTGTCACGTGACGACGCGAGCGAGCGGCGGCGGCTGTTGCGCCGCGGCAGCGCCGGCGCTGATTCCAGCAAACAAAAGCAAACAGTGGGGACGCACGTTCTAACCTAACCTAACCTAACCTATTCTAATAATATAATTGGTAATAATTATGATAATTTATC